TGCTTCACCTGTGAAACCGGGCTAATCACAGTCCTGACTTCCAAAGCTTTTGAGGACTGAGTCAGTTAACAGGCATAGAACCTTTAGGACAGCCCTGGCATATCACAATCAGTAAGTTTTAGCTCTTATTAGCAGGGTGACACTGGGACTAAGACCTCCTGACTTCAAGTCGGTACCAGTGTTACACTGTCTCCCATTAATTTCCAAGGCCCCTAATGCCGCCTTTTATCTATGTCACTGTCACCAAAGCCAACAATCAACATCTAGTCCTCCGCTTTTCCCTGGGAGACTGCTAAACTCTTGAGGCCCCAGGCAATAGCAGAGCATTCAAGCTGCTGTCCAGAAGCCTGGGCAGGGGTGGCCTGGTGCTGAGACTAAGGTTTCCGGAGGCATTCAAGGGGCTGGGGGCAGTCTGCAGGCTGACTAGCAATCTACTGCCCAGTCCCTCATCACTCCACGCTCAGCTGACCAATTCTACCTCCTTCCCTGTCTCCCCTTGCCTCTATACTCCCAGAAGGAACTTCTACTGTTTTCGAGAATACCCATCACTTGTGGCCCTGGGCTGTGGTCATGTGGGCACACCTCTTCTGCCCAAATGGTGAACCTTTGCATAGCCTCTTATAATACAGTGCCTAGCTCACAGTCATCACTGGGCATTGGTGCAGACAAGACTGTCACCCAGATTCCTACCCATGTCAGGCCACCTCAAGGTAGCCCGAGAACAACAAACATCAAATAACTGGTAATGCAGATCTAGTGTTTACCAAGTTCAGTAAGCCAGGCTCCCAGCTTTCCCAGCTAGTTTCATGAGCCTTGAGAGTTTGCCCTGGTTTGGTTGGTTGGTTTGTTTGCTCCTTAGGATCAGTGTGCGCTTTAAAGAGGGCACCAGAATTTCTGAGTTTGACAATAAGCTCAGGCTTGCCTGCTGTCTCCTAAGAGGCAGTAATCTTGAACTTAAGTTTTAGGTGCTGTCAGGACAGGGTCATTAGCAATGGAAACAAGGAGGTAAAAATGAACGCTGATACCTTAACTCCTTTTTGCAAAAAGTACTTAAAGTTCAATATACACCAACTCATCAACCAAATAATTTACAGGATTGCTAATCTGGTTTTAAAGAGCCTGGAAGGCTAGTTTGAATGCTACCACTAACTCCTTTTGGGCAAGTCCCGTGCCTTGTATGAGCTTTCGCTTCCTTCCCTGGGAAACAGGGCCAGATCAGACAGCGAAGACCTAACTCTGGAGCTACTGACTCTGAAGCTCCTGTTGTTTGCATGATGCTCCGGGTAGGACCTGTCTGGTGTGTGTTCAGAGAGAAAGAAAGGACAGAGACAGGCATCTATTAAATGCAGTCGCAGAAGACCAAGAACTGCACTAAGAAGTTTCCCTCTTCTCTCGGATACTGGATTATTTCTACGTAAAATAATCTGTGAAGCCTATGAAAATGCCTTCTGAGAATTCACTAGACATTTGACGCTGGAGGGAAAAACACTATTTCCTATTTGACCCAACTGTGAAATAAATTATTCCACCTTTTTCTGTCTTCCCTACACATCCACTAGGTCCTAGACTGCCTTCTTTCAAGCCCATCTCCTCTGCCAACTTCTGATTCTCATTCCTGTTAATTCAGTACAAAACCCTTGTTAATGAGCCAATTTGCTTTTTCCTCCTGTGACCCTGATTAGCATTTCAGTCTTCCACAGGTCCTCAAACTTTTCCAATTAAGTTCCTTCGGGGCAAGTCCACACCATTCATTACCCACAGTGAGAAGATAGTCTTGAGAATAAAGTGAAGCGCTCACAAAATACAGGAGAGCTAAAGAATTAAAGAACCCTATTGGGCTTCAGTGAAAGTATAGACCTACCTCACTTTATTACGCTTCACAGACTTTCCTTTTTTTTTAAACCAACTGAAGACCCTCCAGTAGCAAAAAAGATTATGACTGACTTTACTGTGGTGGTGGCCTGGAACCAAACCTGCAGTATCCCCAAGGTATGCCTACAGGTGGATTTGGTTCAACTGTGACTTTAAGGCAGATTAACATTTTTGGTCCGTTTCAAAATTATCCTGATTTGCCCAAGATCCGGAAAAGGTGGCTGCAGAGGATTTAATGACAGAGCTGAATCAGATTATCTCTAAGATTCCTCCCAGCTCTAACATTTCCAAATAATATCAGTCTGCTGTAAAGTCAGCACCCCACGGGGCAGATTAAGAGGGCTAAACTCTGGAAGCTGAAGCCCAGAAAAAGGAGTAATTTGGGTCTTTGTTCTCTAATTTAATATTCATAGCAAAAAAAAACTGTTCTCCACTTTAACATTAATGGCAACCCACCCATGCCTATTTACTGCTTTCTAAAGTAACACTTGACATGTACATTTCAATGTTAGTTTCATAAGCAGAGCATTAAAGAGTAAAGCCCATCACCTCCACCTCCCCAGCCCAGAACACTGCCTGAACCGTAACAGAGGGTGAAATACTTAAGACTCTAAACTACCGAAAGGGACATATTCAAGTATGTGACCTAAAGCAAAATCTTTCATTTCTCTTGGCCTGTTTTAGTGCACAAAGGAAGGAAGAAAATACCAGTGTTTCTGTCAACTTGGTGTCCTGACAACACAGGAAATAGGATGTGTTCCATGGTCGTACCTGTATGGGAAACTCGAACAAGAGCACTGTGAATCTCAAAGATGATGGTAGAAGATTCGGAATAGAGCCTGAACGTACTGAGGCAGTGAGTTCCTCCTCACCTGGAGCCCTCACTGGCACTCGCAGGCTGTGCAGCCACCATGACACTGGTGCCCTTGTCTTGGGGATAAAGCAATGCTCCCCGCAGATTTGAAACTGCTTGTCCCAGGCTCACGCAGTCAGTTTAGACAAGCCAGGACTAAAATTGAGTCTAACCCCAAAGCCTACTGTTTCCTGTGCAGTTGGAACAAATCCCACAGGTGGGGAAAGTTTTAACAATATTGTTGACTATTGAACAAGGGCTAGAACTGCACAGGCCCACTAATACACTGATTTTTTTTCAACATACTGTAAATATATTTTTCTTCCTTATGATTTTCTTAACATTTTCTTTTCTCTAGCTGACCTTATTATAATCATACAGTATATAATACACATAACATGCAAAATACACATTAAGTGACTGTTTATATTATCAGCAGGGCTTCTGGTCAGCAGCAGGCTATTAGTAGTTAAGTATGGGGAGGGTCAAAAGCTATACACAGATTTCTGGCTGTTGCGGGGGTGAGGTCAGCGCCCCTAACCTCTGTGTTGTTTAAGGGTCAATTGTATTTATATGTATAAGAGAAAAAACTTCAAACCCAGCTTGTAGTTTCAAGACTGGCATCAATGAACTGAAAGCAGAAGGGGATTGCTGAGCAAAGCAAATTCCCACATCCCGAGGCAGTCAGGTACACTGAGGTCCAGACCACTCATTAACCACAGTGGAGGTCAGTGCAGGACAGTCTGGGAAAGAAGAGCTTGTAAAATAGAGGAGAGCTAAGAAAAAAAACAAAACAAAACAAAACAAAAAACCACCAGAAAGTCTTTTCAAAACACTGGGGGGAGGGTGAGCTTTTCAGGATAGACGGGGTAGGGATGGGCATAAGAAGCAAAAGCCTATTTTGAAAAAGGACCCCAGGTAATATTCATCGTGCTCCCCAAATCACTGTGGAACACTGACTTGAAATGGGACAGGGAGTTCTCTGAGGCTGTGTTTGCTGGCTCTTAAAGTCAGGCAAAAGCTCCAAACAAAATGCCTTTTCCAACTCCACCCCAAATCCTACCCATTCTTAAAGGTCAGCTCTAGTTCATCCGGGGGTAGGAAAGGCACCATTACCCATTCGAAAGGACCTAGGCCTTGAATTAAGACAAATCTGGGTTCATATCACTTGGTCTATAAAAAGTGTAAGGAAACCAGGAGTACAATGCAACTTCCTTTATAAGGTGATTAACCTTCATCAACTTGTATTTGTTCACCTTGAATCCTTAATTTCTCCATTTACAGAGGGGAGGACTGACTTTTAGAATTATTACCTGAAGTCACTTCTGGAAGACATCTATGACATAGTTGGGACTCATTAATAGCCCCTCCCTTGAAAAAGTCCACTCGGACACTCCTAGGCCACTGGCCCTCTCCTCTCTGAACAAATCCTTGGCTTCGTTCAGCATGTACAAGATATGTGAGACCTGAGGACTCAGGATGAACACACTCCAAAACTGCAGTGAAAACTGGGAAACTAGGGTTAAGCAGTACCAAGGACCGCTCAAGGCCCCCCTGGCTCTCTGAGTCCTGTCTTTCCCATAAATAAAAGCACTTCCATACCAGCCCCAGAGGATTAAGAGATAAAGAATGTAAAGTGGAGGGAAAAGATGTTAGGTATTGTTATGTGACAGCTCTGGGCCCACCTGTGGGGTTATTATTCTGAAGGCCCCAGAGGACGCAGCCAGAAAACCGACAGTTTGCTCGAGTGCCCTGGGATGAAGCGCTGGTGGTCCCAGGAGAAAAGACTAGGAAGCAAGAGTTTAGCGGGTAGAGTTGGGGGAGGGGGCTGTGAGGATATTTGGAATCAGACAGGGAGGGAGACCGGGTAGGTCCAGTAAAGTTTTTTTTTTTCTTTTTGTTTGCTTTGGGAGGGAAAGGGAAGAGGCCCTAGAGAGTGAGGGGGCTTCCACCAACCCCGTACAAAACATCCTCCTCTCCTCAACCAATTTTAGTTCATTAATAATGGGCTGCACATATTGAGCAATTAATAAGACAACAGTCAGAATTTAGCGAGCGCTTGTTATGAAAATACCAGGTAACGTTTGGGCTAAGGACTCATCCTAGGTCGAAAGCTGACCAGGGCCCCAATGCCTGGGCTTCGGAAAGGAGGGTGTGTCTGGGCCCAAGGTGACAGCACCAAGGCCTAGCGGTCCCGAGACCACTTTGGGCCGAGCGGTCCACAGCAGTGGGTTCAGGCCCTACGGGCGGTGAGAATGGCCCGCGGTGGTCCTACCTTTGAGCGAAGTCTCTACCAGGCGCAGGTAAAGCTGTGAGCTCTTGTTGCCGTGGCTCATGCGCTGGGCTAGCCCGTTTCGCTGCAGGACACACTCCTCAAACTGCACCACGTTCTGGTGGCGCCGTTTGAGGCTAGTCAGGGCCCAGAATTCCGCCAGGGCCAGCTCCACGTTTTCTGGGGCGTCGCAGCGAATCTTCTTGACCGCCACCCGGGCCCCGCTGCGCCCGGCCACTGCCTCGTAAACCACGCCGTAGCTGCCGCGCCCGATCTCCGCCAACAAGCTGTAGCGCGGCGGCGCGGACCCGCCGCCGCCTTCTGGCCGCCCCCGCGCCAGGCAGGCCTCGCCCGGGGCCTCGGCCGCCACGGGATCCATGGCCTGGGCCGCAGCCGCCGGCCTCAGCTTCGCGCTGGGCGCCCGCGGCACTGGGCTTCGCCTTTTCCGCTCGTGGCTTTGTGTACCTCTGCGGGCGCCGTCCTCCTTCCCCGTTTCCATGGCTGCGGGCGGTGGGGGGAGCAGCAACGGCGCTGCCCGGGCCCCCCCTGCCTCATCCCTCCGTCCAGCCCCGGGACGCGGAGGAGCGGGAGCCTGGATTGTGATCTGCGAGTGAAAGAATCGGTTAAACGACCAGGCCGAGGCGGGCAGGCAAGGAGCGCAGGCCAGAGGGCCCCACCTCCTCCGGCCTCTGCGGCCCCTTTAAGACCGAAGCTACCGCTGCCGAAACATCCAGGGAGGGGAGGGGAAAGCGGGAAAGACGAAACCACAGACGGTGGCTCTGAGGGGAACCGGAAAGAAAAGTAACACCCCCACCCACACCTTCCCAGTTAAATTATCGTACAGGACTTATAAAAACAAGGACTACCATTCTTCACCATTTATGAAAATCTCCCTAAGAAGCAATCTGCACTGTGGAAATCTTTTTTTCCGGCCTGGGTCCTACAGGGATTCCCCCTCTCTGCGTCCCGCCTACAGTTTTCCAGCGTGTAAACCGTCCGTTGAATTAAGTCCGAGCGGAGCCCAGCGGACCGACCCAAGTCCCCGAGGGCGGCGTGTGCGAAAGGGTTGGCTTAAAGCCACGGCGTTCCAGGGCGCGCCAAATCCTCTGCCCAGCCGCCCTTCCCAAGGGCCCGAAGGGGTGGGGGTAGCTCTGGCTTCGGCGCTTTCACTCCTCACACCACACTCGTACCTACCTGGCCTGAGCCCCTCCACTTCCGGGCGCCCGGGCTGGGCAGCCTTCGGAGCCGTGCAGCGCGCGCGGCCGTGGCCCGCGCCCGGCGTGTGCCGGAACTTGCCGCTTCACTGGACGTAGCAGCGCCGCGCGCGGGGCAGAATCCGGCGTTCCGGCACCCGTGGCTCTCAACGTGTTCGCGCCAGCTGATCTCTTTACATAACCTCTTTATATAAACCGCATTTCCCGCGGGCACCCGGGCCAGCGGGGACTCCGGGTGGCCCATTCCCCGGAGGCCGGTCGAGGACCGAATCTCCCGGGTTCTGCCAAGGTCAACGGAGCAGCCGCAGACCGCACCCAATCACAGGCCAGAACACCCAACGTACAAAAAGTAGGCGCCAAATTCCCTCGATCCGGCTGCGACCGCGGGTCTCCAGTGCTGCCTACGCACCGCAGTCTCTGCTCCTCCTCTCTGCTGCGTGAGGTGTACTGCAGGCTGTAGGTGCCCAATAAATACTGATTGGTTGACTGGATTATCGGTTTGATTGATTCAAAGCTCGTTCCTGGGAACCGCCCAGATTAGATTGGAGTTAACACCCTGCCTCCAATTAGCCCCTTGACCTTGGGTAAATATTTCTCAGATCCAAGCCTCATTTTCCTCTTCTGCGAAATAGGTAGACTGAGCCTTACCTTCCAGGGTTGCATGGATTAAAAAAAAAAATTTAGTTCATTGCTTTGTACCCCAGTGCCTAGTAAATGCCCCGTATTTGTCAACTGAATCTACAGGTACTTATTACATTCCTGTATGTTGGGCGCCCATTATACGTCGCTGGGGAAAAAGCAGCAGCGAACAAGTTTTTTACCTTAGCTGAGGTTCGGTGCCATGGGAGATAAATCCTGTAGGTCACCTTGAACATGGTAATAAACGAGTTTGAGTCACTGAGGCTCCACAGTTAAACCACTTAAAATAGGGCAGGGCTTTGCACACAAGTTAGGTATGATTAAAAATACAGGATAACTTTTGACAATAAGTGCGATGGAGAAGAGAACTAAAGAGTGCCTGGGGGTTGGGGACAGGCCACTTCCGATAGTGTGGTCTCTTAAAGACTGTTACTCTTTTTATATGTAAAATTGCAAGAATTTTACTTATTCTTGAATATGTGTAAATTGCGAGAGTAGTGAAGAATTCTCATATACTTTTCAACCAGAATAACATTGTTCTGTTTTGCTGCAATTTTGTTATCGTGTCCTGTGTGTGTGTATATCAGACAGGAATTTTTCCTCAATCATTTTAGAGTAAGTTTCAGACATAAATCTTTCTCACCATATATTCTGTGTGTATTTCCTGGGAACAAGGACATTCTCGTGGCTAACCTCAGTACAACTATCAAAATCAAGGCCTTTAATAATGATATGATTCTTTTATTTAATATAGCTTCCATATTTAAAGTTTACTCATCATTCCAATAATATCCTTTAAGGTGTTCCCAAAGACCCAATTCAGGATCACTTGCTGCATTTAGGCCCAAATGAGGATCACCTGCCTCTTTAGCTTCCATTAATATGGAAAAGCATTTAGTTCCTTAGCCATTATCTGTCTTTCATGACCTTGACATTTTTTAATAGTACTGGAGAGTTGTTTTGCAGATGTCCTTAAATTTGGATATCTGATCTTTTCTCATAATTAGATTATGAGAAAAGGTTATATTAGATTATATTAGGTTATGCATTTTGTCACGGATACCACAGAACGTTGTGTCTTAAGTGCATCTCAGTGGGAGTCCCCGTGGCATTGGTTTGCCCCAAGGTCGGTGAGGTTAACTTGGATCATTGGATTAAGGTGATGTCTGCCTTGGTACTCCACTGAAAAGTTAATTATTTTTTCCTCATAACTTAGCATCTTGTAGGAAAATATTTTTGAGACTATCATGTTCTTCGCCAGAGTCTTACCCATTGGTTTTAGCATTTATTGATAATTCTTGCCTGAATCAATTATTATTATTATTATTATTATCATGGTTGAAAAATGGTGACTGAAAGGCCTCTGTGTTAGTCTGCTAGGGCTGCCATAACGAAGTACTGCAGATGGTGAGACATCTAGTCTCACAGTTCTGGGGACTAGATGCCCCAGATCAAAGCGTTGGTAGGTTTGATGTCTCCTGAGACCGCTCTTCTTGACTTTCAGATGTCCTGCCTGCTGACTGTCCTCACAAGACCTTTCCTGGGATATCTTTTCCTCTTGAAGGACAAGTCATATTGGGTTAGGAGCCCACCCTAATGGGCTCATTGGAACTTAATCTCCCCTTTAAAGATCTTGTCTCCAAGTATGTTACATTCTAAGGCACTGGAGGCTTGTGAATTCAACATGCAATTTTGGGTAGGGGCGAGGTTGGTGGGGACAGTCTCTTTGGAATATGACGTCCAGGCTAAGACCTGAAGCCAACCATACTAAAACTGGTAGGAAGGCATTTCAGAAAGAGAGAATGAACACAGAAACGGAGAGACAGGAACAAGATGGATGTGAAACTTCAGCCGATTGATGAGAGTGTAGAATTGTACAAGCACTTTGGGGAAAAGAGTTTGGCAGTTTTTTTTATGCAACTACTATAGCCCAGCAATTCCGTGCCTTGGTATTTACCCAAGAGAAATGAAAACTTACATTCACAAGTACACTTGCATAACAAGCTTATAGTGGCTTTTCCCATAAGAGTCTCAAACTGGAACCACGCCCATGTTTAATCAACAATAAGTGGATAACCAGGTTGTGGTATTCCTTATACTTGAAACGCTCCTTGGGGCGGGGTAGGGGCTGTGGAGGAATAAAGCATCCATGCAACATGGATGAATCCAAATAATTACGCTGAATGAAATAAGCCAAACATAGAAGTGTTCATTCTTGCAAACAATTCTTAAAAATGCAAACTAGAGTTTGTAGTGACATGGAGCACAGCAGTAGTTGGGGGGGGTTGAGGGGGGGTGTAGAGGTATAGGAGGAAATTTTTCAGGGTGATAGATATGCTCATCATTTAGAAATCATCTTGTGCTAATAATTTCAAGGGGGGAATATGCTAAAACACTTCAAATTGTATACATTAGACAGGTGCCGTTTATGTACTTCCATTTTATGGCTTCACCACAAGAAAAGTAAAAAAAAAAAAAAAAAAAAAAAAAGGGAGAAAAAGAGCACATACAAGTCTGCTACTACGAAGTGAAGCAGCACTGATCCATGGTGGCAGAAATCACACGAGTGGTAATCTTTGGGGCGAGAATTGGCCACCAAGGGTCACAAGGGAATTTTCTGGGTGATGGGATTTTATTGCATGCAAATTATACTGCAATAAACTCAATTGAAAAGGTGAAAAAGCAAAACCCTGCTGCCAGGGACACCCGTCTCTTCACTTATAGCTTTGAAGGACCAAAGGCTTCATGGCGCTCAGGGAGAGCTGGCCACAATCTGTGTCACCAGCCCTGCAGGTAGAGCAAGGCCAGTAGGGTCTCTGTTCCTGTTAGTTTCCTGTCTTGGGGTTTTAAGAGAGATGGGTCTGAAGGCCTAGGAGAACCCAAGGCATGGTAATGTTATTGTATGCTGTGAGGACCAGACTACGCAAAATCTGTTGATGGCTTGACGGACTTTGTTTTTGTTTTTTCTTAAGTTCTAGCAGTAACTTGTTTTTCTTCTTATGGCTAATCACCAACTTTTACTCAGGTGTTTTATCTGTCAGACACGGAAAGGAACAAAGAATTCCCATGCCAACCTTGTGACGTAGTTACTGTGTTAGTTGCGTGGTACAAGGAGCTTACACAGCTGGGGTTTGAACTGAGACCCCTCCCCACCCCCAGGCGTTTCACACCTCCTCACCCTGCTCAGCCCTTCCTAAGAGAAGTGTTTTCAACAAACCTGCGTAGCTCCTCCCTCCGTATCCCTGACGTCTCAAACACGCTGGGCACTTGGCTGGGACTCAATATTTAGCGACAGAAGAAGGAAGAAAAAGGGAAGGGCAGCAGTGAGGTTCGAGGCCCTTTCAGAAGGCCCCTGCCCCGGAGGTACCGACAGAGACGATAAGACATAATGGGATTATAGGGTTCCAAGTCACATTAGTTCCTTAAGAGACAAAGCAAATAAAGGGATAGCAAGGGACAGGGCTATTTTTGGATGGATGGTTTGGAAAACCTCGCTAAGAAGATTATCTTTGAGCAGAAGACCTGACGGATGTAAAAGAATCAGCCAAATGCAGATTTACAAGAAGAGCTTTTGGCGTCAGAGGAAAGAGCAAGTGCAAAGGCCCTCAGATGGGAGTCTGTGAGGAGGCCTGTGTGGCTGGAGCAGAGGGATGGGGAGGAGCAGTGGGAAACGAGGAAAAAGACAGGAGCATGGGGGACCGACTGTCAAGAGGCAGGGACTTGTGTGCCACGGTGAGGACTTTGGATTTGCTCACCATTTGCAGTATTTCAAGCACCATGGTCAGTGGTGTATTTGGCGAGAGGTGACACTCAAGTAGGACATTATCCTAAGGATTGTCACAGAGGGAGAAGGCAGAATGGTAACGCTCCTTCCCATCCTGGTCATTCAGCGGGTGAGGGCAGCCGTGGGGGTGGTTCCACAGGAAAGCAGGGGGCTCTGGCCTGGGAGGCAGGGAGGACCTTGGAAGGAGAGACACTGGGAGAGGGGTCTGGGACAGCTCCTGGGCAGAGTGAAAGGTTAGCAGGAAATGAGGAGGCGGGGCTGGTAGTCACGTGGCTGTGCCTTGTGAAATGGCAGGGGTCTCAGGAGCGGGGGGGGGGGGGGAGTGGGCGGGGGTAAAGGGAGGAGAAGCGGACATGGGGTCTAGGAGGAGGACTTCAGAGGGCCCTGGAGGTTCTGAAGGACAGAAGCTTGAGATAGAGGCCTCGAGGGGCCATCTCCAGAAACAATGAGCGTGTGGTGCTGCCTGGCACCATGCAGCTCGTAACAACTACACGGGAGAGATGGTTTGTCCCCATTTTATGAATGGGAAGATTGAGCTTCGGAAATGACATCGTGAACAGGTGGAACAGCTGGGATTTGAGGTTTTTGTATCCAAGCTCTTAACCATTGTACAGATGTTCTCAAGCTTCAGTCCACATCGGCATCATGCTGGAGGGCTGGTTAGAGCCCAGATCGATGCCCCTCCCCCCAGGGTGGCTAATCATAAGTCTTGGTGTGGGCTTAATAATTCACATTTCTAACAAGGTCCCCGGTGAGAGCTTGTGTTGATGTTGCTGGCCCAGGGACCACACTTTGACAATATGACATTATACTCCACCGCCGCTGGAGTGAGCACAAAGCTGAGGCCATCAGTTGCAGAGGACTGGAGCTCTGGCAGAGAATTGGAGGGGGGGGGGGGGAGTGGAGCTATTACACAGAAAACTGAGAAAAATAAGATGTGAGGTGATCATTAAGGGCAAGACAGCAAAAATAATTTATAAGAAAAGTGTTGTAATCATCATA